CCTTCCCTCCCACCCTGTTGCCCCAAGCCCACCCGCACCCCTTGGGCACTATGAACACCAACGTGTGCGTGGAGACGGGGCCCAACCCCGAGGCGCCGGGGCTGCCCAAGGAGAACCACCTGCCCGACGGCGCCCTCAACAGCCTTGTGGATTACAACTCGGAGATGGAGCGCTACCGCTCCTTCGCCACCTTCTACAAGACCAACGGCGGGGCCTTCCCGCAGGCAGCCAAGATCGCGCGCATCACCACCCCCATCTTCCCCACCGCCGCCGCCGCCGCCGCCGCCCGCATCGGCATGTCCCCGTGGAACTGCGACACGGCCACGGCGGCCGCCGCCACCGCCATGCTGTGGGGCAGCGGCGCAGGAGGCGGGGGCGCGGGCGTCGGCGGGCCTAACCCTGCGGCCGCCGCGGCTGGCGGCGTGGCCCGGAAAGCAGCTGCCGTCGCCGCCGCCGCCTCGTCGGTCGCAGCGCCGCCGCCGCCGTCGGCTTCTTCGCCCGCCTCTTCTCTGCACGCCGCCGGCAGGAGCGGCGGCGGCGGCGGCGGCGGGAGTTTGCACCATCGGAACGAGTCCCAGCGGCTCGGCAAGCCTGGCTGCGCGCCAGCCGAGCAGCCCTCGTTGCAAATGGCCAATAATAATTTCCTCTCCACCTTAGCCCCGGAACACTGCAGACCTTTGGCTGGGGACTGCATGAACAAGCTCAAATGCGGCGCTGCTGAAGCGGAGATAATGAATCTCCCCGACCGCGTGGGGACTTTTTCCGCTATCCCGGCTTTAGGGGGCATCTCATTACCTCCCGGGGTCATCGTCATGACAGCCCTGCACTCCCCCGCAGCAGCCTCAGCAGCCGTCACAGACAGCGCGTTTCAAATTGCCAATCTGGCAGACTGCCCGCAGAGCCATTCCTCCGCCTCTTCGTCGTCCTCCTCCTTGGGAGCCGCCGGAGGAGGGGGAGGAGGAGGCGGGGGTGGAGGAGGAGGAGGAGGGGGCGGCGGCGGCGCGGGAGGAGGAGGAGGGGGCGGCGGCAACCCAGCCAAGAAGAAGAGGAAAAGGTGTGGGGTCTGCGTGCCCTGCAAGAGGCTCATCAACTGTGGAGTCTGCAGCAGTTGCAGGAACCGCAAAACGGGACACCAGATCTGCAAATTTAGGAAATGTGAAGAGCTAAAGAAAAAACCTGGCACTTCGCTAGAGGTCAGAGGAGATGATTTCTTTCTTCCCAGCCTCCCGCCGTCCCTCGTGAACCCCCTTCCCCCACCTCTTCAGTGCTTCTTGTCTAGTTTCAAGATGCAGCATCCCTTTTCCGAAGCCTCCTTCAGGTTGTGAGGAGGAACTCCCCCCTCCTCGCCCGCCCCCCACTTTGTTGCCTCTCCGTAGTACTGTGCACAAAACATAGCCACACGTCCTCAACCTGGGGGTGGGGTTGAATTGGACTGCTCTGGACCCAGTTTTGGAGGAGGGGGAGTGGAGAGGCCGGCCCCCTCTGCAATAAAAACCTGGCCGGGGCCTTGGGCGTTTTGTTTGGGTCTTTTCGACAGGGAGGAATACCTGGAAAGTTTGTGTTAATAGGATTTGGAAAGGAAAAAGTGCCACAAAATCGCTCAATTCCCGAGGGGATTTTTTTTTTCACCCTTTATAATCATTACATGAAGATTTCTTCTATTTTTTTTTAAATACATATTCCCAAGTTGTATATTACAAGTAAATTGATTGGAATCTATGGTCTATATTTTTACCTGTTACTTCAAGGTGTGTTGTTTGGTGATATGTAAACTATTTTTACTTAATGTGAAATTAATGGTGAAGGGCATTTTTTTAAAGAAAATCTGAACTCTTTAGTAGTCATGAAACTTTTTAAGTTCTAAAATAATTTTGGCAGTATAGTGGATCCTTCTTTATTTGCTGTGTAGATTTTGCTTTGTTTGAAAATTAAGTCAGGGAGTTTATTTTCTAAAGCTGATTCCAGATCTAAAAAAAGGTCCTAAGTTCATCTGAAATTAAGAACTAGGTAATTTGGAGGTTGTTTTGATAATTTATTGCAAGAGAACAATTAGCAGTGAAGAAGCTAGCCAAGCATACCAAAAGTAATACTTTGGATCATGATACATCCTTACCAAAAATAGTCCTTTGTAGTATATTTTACAATTGGATAAAGAATATCTATGAGTATTTGTGATTGAAATGTATATGCATTTATTTTTTAAAAACTCAGAATTGACAATGTATCATAGACCTGAAAAGAGGTGAGGTCTTCAAGTTTAGTAGACTTTAAAAAAGTAGAAGAGATACTCTGGATTTTCAGTTCATGTATTTAGTTTAGCAGTCAAAGAAAAGAAAACATGTAAAATTATTAATAGCATTATTTTTAGATGGAAGAAAAGAGAGGAAAGACTTGTAATAATTTAAACCCTGTGATTATTAAAACTATAGTATTACCAGGTAGATGAACCTATCAGATGAGTGTATTTGATTTGAGAAAGCAAGTTTTTTATGGAACTTTAAGATGTAAAGTGGCTGAAATTAGCAACTCAGAGTTGCAACTGTCATTAACAGGAGTTAACTTATACATGGATTTTTTTTAATTTGTGTTAATGTTACTACTAAGTTTAACTTCTCATTTAGAAACAATAAGGACTGAAAGAAAAACAGCACTTGGGTGATACTAATTTTTCTTCTTCCCTTGCAAAATTGAACTATCCTTTTGGAAAGTTTAATAACTTATTCCCCATATATTTTCCATAGCTGCTTATTGTGCATATATCCAATATCACTTTGATGCAACAGTCTCTATGGACTATATTTCAGCTGGTAAAAATCAGTTGTATATAAATGTACCTGTTATTTTTGGTTGCAAACACTCCTGTTTATTTCATAGAACGTTACCGAAAATGTATATTGTGATTTTTACAATAAACAGTAAATGCTGAATTTGAACACTAAACCATAACTAAAAATGATAACTTTTTTCTGTTCCTGGGTGCATTAAGTGTACTCTTCTGCACAGTTTTCCAATACTCCTCTTTAAAAAAAACATTGTCTTGATTTTGCTAACTAGTTATAAGCAAGGAAAGACTGCAGTTCTCAGCAAATTTACCAAGGATATATATCTTAAAAATACCGAAATATACTTGAAAATTAATTGGATAGGATCAAGCTGACTGCCCTATTCAATCTAACAAAACAGTAGCTTGTGTTGCTTTAAACAGATATGCCACCTTTGCACAGAAGTAAATTACACTAGAACTGTTTTCATGACTGCACTGCCAACTAGCCCAGCGTATCTTAGATTAGCTGCTTGTGTGAACCAAGGCTATGTGGTTAGTTTATAGTTCAGTTTATTATACAAATCCAGACAATGAGATTAAGTCATTTAACCGTAACTCAATTTACTGTGGGTTAGTGTCTTATGCAAAGTGTTTACTTTCAAGCAAGTTGGTGCCAGATTTCAACCTTAGCAGTTAACTGGATAATTTCTGAGCAAATGGCATGTTTCTAAGGTTATATTTGCTGAGAATCTTAAAATTCAGGAGAGAAGAAAATATTTACCGAAGAAAACTGCTTGCATCAACTTCTTGCAAATGCTGTCCTTCTGTCCATTTAAGGGGAAACTAGCATTAGCAGGCAAAATCAGAAGAAAAAGTTGAACCTTCTCATAGTTCTCTGCATGTGGGCCTTTCATTTCTGTGCAAAGTATCACAAAGGAAACGTGGCTGAGATGCTATGTTAGCCTTAGGAAATCTCTTTCCATCCTCCACTGCAGCCAATAGATTGATGGAGTTGATAAGTTTTGTCTGATGCAATATGGCTCCTCCATCCTTAAAAACTTTGGATTGAGTTCAAAGCTCATTTTCATCAGTGCATCTGCCTTTTGCAAATCATCCTAACATTTACAGCCCTGTCTGAAACAAATACTAAAATCCTGTTAACTTCAACTCTGTTTCTCAAAAAGCAAGTTAGACTCATAGATGTAAATTGCAATGATTAAATAATTTTTGATAGTGCGCATATAGACACTGCCCTGTCAATGAAGTAAAGGGGTGAAAGGGTGGGAAATATATGTAATAGGAAATAGCATTCATGAATGAACAGTTGGTAGATGTTGGTATGTACATTTTTCCTGACAACGAAGTTCTGAATCTTTAAACATTTCCTGGGCATGTGTATGAGATAATTGCACCACAGTTGTGGCCAGCAAAATGCATATCACTACATTTGGAAACATCCTTACTTTTTATTTACTTATTTCTTTGTTGTATACAAGCACATGTGCAGATATACATAGATAGGTAATTCATGTAACATGTAGCATCACAAAATAGCAACTTCAGTTTTAGCATACATTAATGTGCTGTGTAGAGACAATCTATAGCTAGCTCAACATCTTGTGTGAACCTCCAAAACTGAATGTATTAAATGAACCATGATTTATTTAAATGTGGGGAACTATGCTGCATAAACACAATGCTGAGCTGCAGTTTCCCAATTTTGAAAAACAAATTTCTGTAGTTTTTAACCTATTTCAATCTAAATAATGGCAGTCATTTACAAGTTAGAAAGATGTCCAAATTTAACCATCTTTTGAAATTAGAATTTTCCATTTACTGTTTCATTTCTTTTTCTCCCACTAGCCTTTTTTTATTGAGCAGTAAAGACAGAGCACAATTGCCCAAGGCACATCAAGAACTACACATCCAGTTTTAAGGCAATAAATTGGAAATGTGTCGAAGATTGGCAGAGCATGTGTGACTGAACTCATGCTTCCCTTGTTTCAGACAGGAAGAGAAAGTTGGAGTGACTTGGTGTCTCTGTCCACAAGTAGCCTGGTGACGAGTCATTGCAGTCTAGATGGGGCTCCTGATTTGAACAACTTCAGAACCAGAACCAGAACCAGTTCTCTTTCTGTTCACAAATATGAACATTTTCCTTAAAAAAAATGTAAAAGCAATTCTTACTCTAGGTAGTCCTCTATTTGCAACAGTTCATTTAGTGACCAATCAAAAATTGGTTATGACATTTTTCACACGACCATTGCAGGAAATCCGTGGTCATGTGATCAAAATTCAATATGGCAACTGACATATTTATGATGGTTGCAGTGTTCTGGGTCATGTGACCATCTTTTGCAGCCTTATGACAAGCAAAGTCAATAGGAAAACCGGATTCACTTAACAACCATGTTACTAACTTAACAACTGCAATGATTCACTAACTGCAAGAAAATTTGTAAAATGGGGCAAAATTCACTCAACAAATATCTCATTTAGCAACATAAATTTTGGCCTCTGTTGGAGTTGTAAGTTGTGGACTATCTGTAGTCACAAGCCGACAAAAATCAGCTACTTCATGTCTAAATTACTTTTGAATGAAATGTTGCTTGCATCCTAGCCTTTTTAAAAAAGAACATTCCTTTTTTTTCTTATGCGAATCTCATCCAAAGAACACTTTGATCACTTAGTTCTTTCCATAAAAAGGTATCCTATATAAATATAAAAAATCTGCATGCAAGCACAGTAGTAAATATACAAACTAAGGTTGATATCACACACAGTTCTATGTATTCACACCCATCCACAGCATTCATTTAGATTTATGGTATGTTTAAAAAGGCATAATCATTATTTATCCAGGAAGAGTACTTATTTCCCCCCCCCCCCATTAGTGTACAATAATATAATTCCTTCTGTAAAATATAGACTGAGGGGCATGGCTCAGTATCACCTCTTTCATGCAGTGAAAAACCAAAGGGAATATTGCATGAGGATATAACATCCATCTTCATGCTTTTTGCTTCCCAAACTTGCTCCTATGGAGCAGAGTCAGGCAATCCAGGCTTGGTTTTTAATATTTCAAAACTGATGTCTGGAACTAAACACTTGTCTTCATGTTGAGCTTCTATATTAAATATAGCTTAACTGTCCTACTCTTCAGTTTCCCTTTCATTGGTCCTCATTACTGTTATTAAGGCCTTCACCATGACCAAATAGTTACCGTATATACTACAAATTATTTTCATTTTAATCAAACTGAGAAACAGTTTCATGTTAGGCTCTAGATATTTTCCAGTGATCCACTGGTACTTAACTTTCAAGTCTGAATAGAAAGTCATGGTTGTTCTGTGTGTTGAAATAATGTTAGTAGTTGTAAATTGTCCTTAAAACATTCACACTTGAAGAGCTGATAACTAAAATTAAGCTTACTAAGAAAGAGAAATAGAAGCAGCCATAGAACCTGTCCTTAAGAAGAGGACATCAGAAGAGGTAATGTGGCTGGTAATGAACTGTTTTTCTTGGAAAAAGAATGTTGAGAATCCGAAGCTACTGAGCTGTGGACAGTGATGAGTTATGAAGAGACAGTTTCCTCTTGGTTTTCTGTAATTGTGGATTACATTGTTCCATGATACTTGGCTATATAGGGAGATTGTTTTATGAATAATAGTCTGGTAATGTCATTAAAATAACTACTGGAGAGTCAGAAAAAAGGTGTGCTTTCTGGCTCTCTGGCTCTTACTCTATTGGATAATGAAAAAAATAACCATCATACTCAAATTAGTTTTTTTTTTTCTCATATTGCATTTACATACAACCATATAATTGTTAAGTTATTAACCTATTCCCATAACCTTATGATTAACCTTACCATAACCTGTTCCAATTTATAAAAGCTTTATTAGTGGAAAGTGTACTTTTATCATTTTTGGGAGGGGTTCATGTTTTTATTACTGGAGATTAATTGTCATAAAATTAGTTTTTATTGTTACTGTTATTTATTAGTCACAGAACAAAATGTTTTCTGTTGTGCAATTTTAGCTACAATTTTTGTGTGACTTGAGGTAAATGTGGGTTTTTTTAACAATGTGTTCATTTTTCACCAATATACATTATACATTATAACAATATATGACTGCTTAAGTCAGAGGTAGATTGCATTATTTCAGATTTTACTAAACGTATGCACATCTTCCACTTCAGTAGATATTCTTCAAAAAGAAGTCCAACTTATTCACCCTAAACCAGGGGTGTCAAACTGCCGGTCCACAGGCCGGACACGTCATGCGGAAGCCGCGCCCACCCCATTGCCAGCAATGGCAAAACCGGCCCAATACGTTGCGTGAAGTCACGTGACGTTGCGAGTTTGACTTCATTGGTAAATTTACCCAAATCATTATTCTGATGTTTGTTATGGAGCCATGAGAATTTCATGAATTTGAGAATTTATGAGTTTGAATGTTCTGAAGTGTGGGGAGAATTGAAGATTTCTGAGTGAGGCAGCTGGTAATATCAGACCAAATAGATTAAGTGACAGGAACAGATCTATAGGCTCTCTGCTGATCAGCTGTTGCAATGGTCACCTGATTTTTAACTTATTTAGAGAACTTGATATCCATTTAAAGAGAGTTGAAATTTGATTTCCAGATATTTTTTAACCTCAGCAATGCAATATTTATTTTTATTTATCTACATAAATTATTATAGGCTTCTTGTGAAAGCCATGCATTACAGATAAAATATATTAAAACAGTTCAAAATAATTTAAGCAGTTTTACCATAAAATCATTCTATAATTAGCCTTTTCTAAAACATCTACAGAGCATCAACCTCAGGAAGGCTAATAAAAGAGTGCACTAGTTAAAACCATGCCCCAAATCTCCGTAACTAAGACCCTTTTATTTATTTCAGATAAATGCCATAGTTTGATGGCAAACACAGAGAAAGAAAATGTAATGCAAAAAGTTTGCATTGAAGAGTCACATATTCAAGCTTTTTGAAAAGTCTATGGCAGGGGTACGCAACCTCGGCTCTTTTATGACT